ATCGGATCTCACGTATCCTACGTATCTCACGTATCCTACGTATCTCACGTATCCTACGTATCTCACGTATCCTATCGGATCTCACGTATCCTACGGATCTCACGTATCCTACGAATCTCACGTATCCTACGTATCTTACGTATCCTATGTATCTTACGTATCCTACGTATCCTATAGGATACGATTGGTGGTGCACGTGTCGAGTGCGCTGATATTCAAGCCTTGGCGCAGTGCGAAACTCGAGCTGCTGTTGCGCGTATCATTCAGAGAAATAAACGAGTTTTTGTTCAAAAAGCGATTCAGTTATTGCACTGGTGTGTCATTCTGACCCAGTTTGGCACGGCACAAGGGCGTTTCAGTGCTTCGTCCGCTCTCACTGCTACGTGCTGTGGTTAAAAAAGTGCCGCTATAGTTGACCAAGATGAGCTATTCAGTTATCTGTGTGCACCAGGCAGGCTGTCCCATGAAGCCGTTGTGTCGTTAGCAGTTAATTGTGTTTTCCCTACAGCCTGTGTGAGTGTATATTGTGTGTTCTCTCCAGCCTGTGTGGGGTGTGTGTTGTGTGTTCTCTCCCGCCTGTGTGGGGTGTGTATTGTGTGACTTTGTCCAAATATAGTGGTGGACTTTGTGACTTTTTGTGGGTCATCTTGATCCAATTACTCCCGAGAAAAGGGGGTATCAGTGCTGCGTGCAAAAAGTGAATTACTATTTGAACAATAAGAGCGATCTATTTTTCTGAACGTGGCAATTTGGGAAGGGTAAGTAGTGGATGATCGTTGGCATGTGTTTACAACTGCGAACAAGTGTTCACAACTGTGAAAAAGTGTTCACAACTGTGAAAAAGTGTTCACAACTGTGAAAAAGTACAGTAATTATGTCCCCCAGAAAAAGAACTCGCTTTTAAACTTCAGGTCAGGTGCCAATGTAGTCTGGTATGTCATCACTACTCCATCATTTATCAGTTATTTGAAGACTCAAAATTTATATCTAGTTTCGCCGTGAACATCGCAAGAAATTCCCTGCTGTTGGCGCTCTTCTGATTATAAGTTTTTTCGAAAAATTATGTATGACATAACCGGTGGCACCTTGTAAATTAAAGTTTATCTTTGTTGTCTCGCATAGCATAGGTTCAATTATTTTCCGGCCCGCGAGATTTCATGTTATTTCTAGTCTTGTTCGCCTATAAAGAAAAGTTTGTGATCATTAGACGTACGCTATCGTAATCTAGTATTTCTGAACAGGTTTGACCGCATTACGTACATGTGTTATAAACTCATATTGAGCCAGTGATAATGCTAACGCTTGTTCCATTACATTTAATGTGGATTTATTATTTGGGACTATCACTCTTTATTTTTAACAGTGCATGCATGGATCTAAGAACTCGTTACGCCCAGTACCAAGTTTTCATTGCCATGACAGAGTGCGAGTTCTCGTAATTTATTTATCTTGAACGAATGAATGAAATTGAATTCCTTATTAACCATTATGAATTTTTGACTGACATTCACATGCTACGTACGGCAATCTGAACGAAGTCTTTGAATTATTAATTAAGCGCGCAGCGAAACTATTTTCGAGGGGACTGCGCGTAACTTCTATGTTTGAACTTATCGAAACTTAATGTTCATAACTTGTAGACAAGTTCACCTCGCGATATCGTCCGTACTTAGTAATATGCAGGTAACTTTTTCACGAGTTCCCCTCGCGACATTATTCATTCTGAATAATATGCACGTATGCATGGTTTGTGTGGATTTGTCTTAATTGTAGAGGAAACTATCTTGATGAAAAAATAAAGATAAAGAACGTTCATTGCAGGACTCGCTATGATGCAGCCCGCGCCACAGCTCCCAGGCGCTATCGCTCCCGTGAGTTGCGTTTTTCTGTGCTTTTAATGTTAATATTGTGCCGTCGATATTTGTCAAATTTACAAATAATACAATATATATTTTCACTAAAACAGGAGTTTATACAAAAAGACTCATTCTATACAGAAACAAACTATATTAAAAAACAACTGTATGTTTCAGAACATAAACATTAATGTAGAGAGAAAGCCGTACTGTGAATTTACAGTATTTAACAGTAGGCTAACACGCAATATATGTTTGTATGTCAGGATGTCCCCAACAGTAGTCAGAGGTAACACTTTTTGCCTGCTTCAGTCTATTGCTATTTGAATCCTGATACGCGATTTGATGCATGTGTATGTTCTCAATTTTTTATGATGAACAAAGAGAAAACTGAAAATAGTAATAGTTTAAGAATACTGAATAATATTATTGTTTTAGACCTCTCGTAAAAAGTCTTTGTTTCGGTTGCATCTAATTCACCTATCGCAACATCGGCAATTTGAAAGATTCTCCATGTTCGTTTCCCGATGAATAGGGAAGTTTGTACCACTTTCACCAATAAATAACCATCGATCGCCCAATTTTTGCCAATGACTAACTGTCGATCGCCCAATTTTGCCAATGAATAACTGTCGATCGCCCAATTTTGCCAATGAATAACTGTCGATCGCCCAATTTTTGCCAATGAATAATCATCGTTCGCCAAATTTTTGCCAATGAATAACTATCGATCTCCCAATTCTTGCCAACGAATAACTGTCAATCTCCCAATTTTTAACAATGAATAACTATCGATCTCCATATTTTTGCTAATGAATAGTTTTCGATTCACAAGGGTTTCAATAAACTTTTTGATGCATGGTTGGCACATTCGACCATGTGGGCAATGAATAAATTTCGCTTGATAGTGCGGGATAGTTGTTAAGAAACTCTCACAATATTTATGTCCAATACACTGTCAATCTCCCAATTTTTGCCGATGAATAACTGTCAATCTCTCAATTTTTGCCAATGAATAACTGTCAATCTCCCAATTTTTGCCGATGAATAGCTGTCAATCTCTCAATTTTTGCCAATGAATAACTGTCAATCTCCCAATTTTTGCCGATAAATAGCTGTCAGTCTCCCAATTTTTGCCTATGAATAACTCAATATCCCAATTTTTGCCAATGAATAGTTTTCGATACACAAAGGTTCAATAAACTTGATAATGGTTAGCACTTTCGACCATGTGGGCGATGAATAAATTTTGTTTTCATGGTGCGGGATAGTTGTTAAGAAACTCTCACAATATTTATGTCCAATACGATTTCTGTATCCTTAATATATTGCAATACTTCGATGTGATATTTATCTTATTAACGAACTTTCAGATGGGGCCATCCATGGGTGTCACACCAATCCCATCTATGCCTATTGGCATACAGGCTATGCCATCTGGCATATCAGCCATGCCGGCTGGCATACCTGCTATGACATCTGGCATGCCAGCTATGGCTTCTGGCATGCCAGCTATGACAGCTGGCATACCTGCAATGGCATCTGGCATGCCAGCTATGGCATCTATGACTCCTGGTATGCCAGCTATGGCAGCCGGCATACCTGCCATGGCAACAGGAATGCCTGCTATGCCATCTGGCGCAGCGACTATGCCAGCTGCTGTACCTACGATGGCAGCCGCGCCACCTGCCGCTATGGTCAAGTCGGGCAGCCAGGACTCAGTGTGAGTTCATTATTATCATTATTATTATTATTATTACTATCATCATAATTATTATTATTAGCATTTTTATTATTATTATTATAGTTATTATCATCATTATCATTATTATTATCATAATTACCTATTATTATTATTACTATATTAGTATCATTATTATTATCATTATTTTTATTGCAAACAGTTTTTATGTCAAACAAAAGGCTATTTAACTTCACTATTTTCGATAAATTTTGTATGTGAATTCTGATGCTTTAATTCATTCCTGGTTTGTCGGATCATTTTAGATATTTTTAGTGAAATATAATCATTTAATTTTAAACATGTTCAGTGTGGTATGAATGGGCAGTTTTTCTAGCCTCAGTTTAGGTGAATTACGAGTCGTGCGTCTAATGTTTATGACATTTAGCATAAGTAAATAAATAATTTAGTATAAATACTATTTAATTAAAAAATAATGATTACTTGAACGTACCCTATTCGAATTGTATCAACTCATTAGGTCATGGATATGGTTGGTAGTGATGCCCACGAGAATGTTGAGTTACTTGCGGTTACTTTGAGTTACTTATGGTTACTTTGAGTTACTTATGGTTACCTTGACTTACTTCCGGTTAATTTTAGTTACTTTCGGTTACTTTGAGTTATGGTTATTTATGGTTACTTTGAGTTATTTTGCGTTACTTCCGGTTACTTATGGTTACTTTGAGTTACTTTTGGTTAAGTTGTTACTTTGCGTTACTTTGAGTTACTTATGGTTACTTATGATTTACTTGTGGTTTACTTATCTTTACTTACGGTTACTTATGGTTACTTTGAGTTACTTTGTGTTGCTTTGAGTCACTTTGAGTTACTTTGAGTTTCTTTGCATTACTTTGACTTACTTTGATTTACTTTGAGCTACTTTTCGTTGCTTTGAGTTACTTTAGGTAATTTTGAGTTACTAACAGTTACTATATCATGAATTACTGTGTTGTTACGATGGCAGGGAGGCGCTAAGCAGCAGCGAGTGGGGCGTACCGCAAGCCAGCAAGCTCAAGTTCACGCAGGTCTGTAGCTCCTATTTAGCTTATATTGTTTCTTATTGTATTATTGTATTATTATTGCATATATTATCCTATACTTATATTAGCTTTACCTATATTATCCTATACCTTATGACCTTTTGTTGAGTTCGGGACTGCCTAGTCCCCGGTCACGCTGATGCGCCGCATTCGTCGTCCTCCGTCTCCGAGTGGTCGCTAGGCAGGTCACCCCGCCCTCGGGGTGACTTGCTAATGTTATCACCACGTCTGCATCATTGTTCGACGATAGCATCATTATGCCCTAGTACTTTATTTGTTCTAATGAACTTAATGCAGTCCATGACAATTTGATCATTTCATTTAAACACTGAATTCTTTAAATATTGTAATAAATATGCTTAAGATCTCGTTACCTCTTCACCAGTTAGCTAGAATATTAACAATCTTAAGTACGTAATCATATTTTATTTGTTTGTAATTATTAATAATTGTTGTATCAGTGCTATGTCTGCTCTGTGCTTGTGCTGTGGGTAAGAAAGTGTCACATTACCGGAACATTATAATGCGTTAAGTTTTCTGAGTGTAAGATCGGTTTTCTTGTTCAGGTTAGAAAGTGTTACATTATTTAAATATTACTTTTATTATATTATCATAAGTTTTCTGAGTGTAAGATCGGTTTTCTTGTTCAGATTAGAAAGTCTTACATTATTTATATATTATTATAAGTTTTCTGAGTGTAAGATTAGTTTTTTTTTGTTCAGGTATTCAACGCCATAGACCGCAACAAGAGCGGCTACCTGAGCGGGGTGAACGNGAAGGTGAGGTCTTACAACTGAATGAATGGGAGCTTTGTAAGGACTTCTCTAACAAAATTTGGGTTACGCCTCGGCTTCTGTTCAAGAGTCGCTACACTCGGCAAATGGTTATTCTGGGTCTGCATCGTCACTCGGTCGAAATAGGCTTCTGGTCAGAATCTCCTTTCCGGCTTTATAAATGGAGGAAAACTTTGTTGTGCGAGTAACTATGAGAGGTGTGTCCTGAGAGGAGGAAAAGTTTGTCCTGAGAGTGTGACAAAGGTCGGCCAGCTTCTTAAAAGCCCGTCTGAAGCAGACATAGAGAGGCTGATTTAGGCTGGCTTCACACCACACTGCCAGTCGCGGTCCAGTTCAATATACGTTAATGCATTTATATAGAGGCATTTGCATCAGCCGTGTAAGGCACCTGCCATGTCCATGGTTTGAATGTTTCTATGGAAACACATTATAATAACATTGGACTGGACCGTGACAGGGATTTGGGTGGAACTTGTCCTGCAGTATAGTGGGTACCCGGCCATACGTGCTTTCTGAGTCTTCGGCGGCCCCTGCTGTAGGGTCGGACCCTCATCTAATTTTGTTAGGGTTGGGAGTGAGGGCAATGAATTATAGTAGCTACATCTGTATGCTTTTCTTCAATCGAAGATTTTTCACAATATTCTTAGGATTAAAACTGGGGATAACTTTGGTGCGAGCTTTTTTTTAGTGGTGTCATGGTGTACTCGATTGCTGTTTTCTCAGTGTACTTGAGCCTAAGTGTACTCGGTGTAAGTGTACTCAGTAATTCAGTATACTCAGTGTATGGTCAACATTTGCTTCTCTATGTATAGTTATCAGTGTCGTAGAATAGTTACCGGTATTGCCTTGCATTTGTTATTATGCACAACAATCCTGCACAAGAACAGCAGTACTGCGTATAAAAGTAATAATGTCACTCGTTTGCTTGAATCTCAAATTCAACTTAAAATCAAAGAAAACTCCACAAAAATTCATACCTACTATCTTTCATACTATCTTTTAGCGCATTTTCTCATTTATGGAAAAAAGACGCCATTGTGCTCGTCGAGTCCGTCTGTCTGTCTGTCCGTCAGTCCGTGACTTCACGTTTTCGTCGATTTTGAGAAAATGTTTGAGTTATATTTAAAAAATATGTACTGAGTTATATTTTTTTTCTATAAAGATAGGACGAACTTTTGTGAAGTTTTCTTTGCTTCTAAGTTTTTAGCATTTCAGCGATTGCGCAGTCCCATGGCTGCTGTTCCTAATCTTTTGAGATTATGAACAGCAAAAGATGTTCATAATCTCGATTTTTCATAAGAATTATCTTGCCTAAATTTCATCATTCGAGTCAACATTTGTCTTTCTATGTAGAGTTATCAGTGTCGTAGTATAGTTATTGTCTCGCAATTGTTATAATGCACAACAATCCTGCACAAGAACAGAAGTACAGCGTATATAAATAATAATGTCACTCATTTGCTTGAATCGCAAATTCACTAAAAACTTAAAAGCAAAGAAAAATCCACAAAAAATCATACCTACTATCTTTCATACTATATTTTTTTCTATAAAGATGGTATGAATTTTTTGGAGTTTTCTTTGCTTCTAAGTTTTTAACATTACAGCGGTCGCGCAATCCCGTGGCTAAATAATCTCGATATTTCATAGAATTATCTTGGATAAATTTCATTATTCGGTGCTTCAAAATTACCTGAATGACACCCATGCACGATTTTTTCATTATATTTTAGTTAGTTTGTATGTCTAATTTTACATTCCCATTTCATTTTAGAACTGTTTCCTTTGAAGAATTTTATCTGATTTTTTCCTTCATTATTTTTCTTGATGTGCCTCAACAATTCATTAATTTCCTCTTCATTTCTTACATTTATCCAAAAACATCACTCATGCCTAGTCTTCTTAATAATATTTTCCAGTTTTCATGCTTTTCCTCATTTATAATGACAATCGTCAATTTTGTGATTTTCGTCGCTGGGGCCTAGTATTCATCATCACATTATATCCCTCATTATTAGTTTTTTATCCCTCCTGTTTATTATCCCCTTTTATCCCTTTTATCCTTTTTTATCCTTTATCCTTTGTTTTTTCTTTGTTCCTGCACAGAACCAGCATCTTCGTCTAGTAATCATTCTTTTGTTGTGTCACAATTGATTTCTATTCATATGATTTTCCTATGTTCCATATAATCATTTAATGTATCACATAATTCATACCTACATGATTTCTTTATGCTAGTAGCCCACACCTTTTTATTACGCTCTAATTAAGTATCGTATATCCCAAGTACACTAAATGTTGTTAATTATAATCTAAATATTTTTTATTTTATAGTATTTTTAATAAACCTGCACTTAATGCACAAAACTCAAAAAATGAATGTCATGTTGTCCAAATAACGACACATTCTCTGCTGCATGAAGCACTGGTAGGCCTTTTTGCTGGGCCTTAACGAGTCATGACCACAGTGACCCCAATAGAAACAAAAGTGCATCGCTATTTGCACAATGAGTCATTACGTTTTTTGAGTGTAACCCTCTCACCGCCACCCCTCTCACTCACTGTAACAAACGCACGCTTTGCGATGATATCAGCCACCACCGCCACCGCCACCGCCACGAGGCCGCCGTTGGCGTTTGCACAAGGAGAGCCGCCACCACAGGCCGCCGCCTCGGCTGCCGCCGCCGCCACCATCGGCGCTCTGAGTAATATAACGGCGGGGGAGACGATAATTCTTTACATATATCATTTATTTATCTATCATTTATTTACTCATCATTTATTTATTATTTATACATTTATCATAAGAAAGTTTTACTGTCCGTCACTGCTGTCCACGAGTACGAACACTATAATTATGTTTAACTAACACTTGGTGAGACCCTGCGGCTGGTTTTGTATATAAACTTGAGTTTGTAACAACATAATATAGATTATTTCTTGTCATTGCGACTTGATTCACTTAGGTGCAGATTACGAGTTTGTTTTAATGGGTGATCTTCATTGTGTCGATGCCTGAAGATATTATTTTAATGTTGCTGATGTTGGGGCGGTGAACGTCTGGCGCTGATTTTAATGCTTATTTTCTGTAGAAATAACATAGAACAAACTTAGACCTAACAACTTGTACTTGATCGTCGCTAACGATTCGTAACTCACACAAAAACCAATCGATGATATTGTCCAAAACGCGACTCACTCTTTTACCAACAGCATGGAATGTGAGCTGACGTAGCACTGAAACACTCTTTGTCCTGGCTGAACCATGTCAAGACGATCCAAGTATAAATAAAAAATGCATCACTATTTACTCATCACCTCACTAATTTCTCGTGCATGAGTGTTGAGCATAACGGAACTCTGCGACGCTCGTTCATGTTAGAGCGACTAACATCGGTTTTCCTATCCACTGTTATCCTATCCTATCCTATCACTGTTATCAATCTCTTCTAATTAAAGTTTACTGAACGACAAAATTCATGTACATTTTATCTTTTTATTGCTTATCAGTATCTGCCAGCAAAAATTTTCTTGGGTTTTGCTGTTTTCCGTGGTGGAAATTTTTATACGTTGCTTTTATTTATTGTTAATGTAAACAATTATCTAACGTGGGTATAACTGCATTCACTTTCTATCTACACTGTATGATATGTTATTTATGATTATAATTGGGCTGTTATGTATAAACATCCTATTTAATTCGTCTTTTTTCAGTGTTCACCGTGTATGGCGCTTAACTAACATTGCCCTCTGATTCATCGTATACTCGCACAATGTTCTCTCTGTATAGCATTGTATTATTTCACTTAACCGTTTTTATTCAAGGAAATATCTTACATGTGTATGTATATGTGTGTCATCTAGCTCTTGACTCACTTTTGTATATGTGTGTCTTCTCTTGACTCAGTTTATCGTTTCGTCTGTGGTTGATTAGGGTAAGTGTTGATACGTGACTTGATTTAACCTTGGGAAGTTTGATTTTTGGTGGCGTCTTCACTAATACAGGGTTATTTTTTTATTGATGTTGTTTAATACGGTATACATTTATGTTTCATCTTGAAATCTGTCTAATATATTTGTCTATATATGTATAATGTAACTGGGCTTCCGGGTTTATTGATACACGTTAAGAGTGTTTTCCTTTACCTGTATTATTTAAATATTTAATACTGTTTCATTGTGTGAATATTGTATTGTGCCCTCGTGTTTTGAAACATTAATGATCTGGCAGCGCTTGACATCTTTGAAGAAATGGTGATTTATTTGGTCTTTACTTTACTTTTAAATTCTTGATTAACCATCAGTTGGGGGTAGCTTAAGTTATTTGGATTTGACATGTTTTATGGTTGATATTATTATATGTTCGCCATAAATATATAAGATCTTTCATTCAATTGCATTGATATATAATAATATTGATAGTTTGATCAATTATTCTCATGGTAGCTTGACCCAATTATAAGGATTAACTTATTCTAAGAACCACCATGCAATAGGTAATGAAATTCAATTAATAAAGTACAGTTGTTCTGTGGGATTGGCATGCAAGAAAACATATTATCTTTCAACAACCAATTTTTTGGGAAACTGCCCCACAACTTTTATATAATTAACATTAATCTATAATTAAGTTTATAACACTTCTATAAATTGGGTTTGCATGCCTGTACTCATATAATAAGAATGGCCTTTCTGGCTGACATTAACTAATGTGAAAGTAGTTGAATATTTTCGTTTTCGGTTCCGATATAATTTTACAATTAACTTACAAAAGTTTTCTGTCAAGATCTCATACCTAAATTTGTCAGTATAATAATTGTTTTCTAGTTTCAATGATATATACAGGTAACGTTTCAGTTGAAACCAATTGACAAGATTGGATCTCTAACAAAATATTGCGAATTAAAATGTTTTGTTATATGGAGTGGATTGCGAAAATCCCTTGTTTTAAACTAAAATATATAGGTATGTATTTTAAAGAAATTACCAGTGAAAACTATGATATTGATTTCAATGATTTGTCAGAAGAAAACTTGTAAAAATGAGTAAACATATTCCATAACTTACACTAAAATTATTGTATGAACAGGAAATTAAATTGAGTTATTTTATTAAATAACCCATAATATAGTAATAAATAATATAAGAGAATGATTGTTGGTTTTAGATTTTGAAGACAAGCGGCGTGAGAACTTCAGCAAGGGGCAGGCGGAGCTGGAGCGTAGGCGTAAGGCGCTGCTCGAGGCGCAGCGTCGCGAGACTGAAGAACGCCTTCGCAGGTTACTGATTTAATATCATTTACCAATACCATATATCATTTAATATCATTAATATTTAATATCATTTGATTTAATATCATTTATCAATATCATATATCATTTAATATCATTAATATTTAATATCATTTGATTTAATATCATTTATCAATATCATATATAATTTAATATCATTTGATTTAATATCATTTATCAATATCATATATCATTTAATATCATTAATATTTAGATTCATCAAATGACGGTATCATTTGAAAGATAGGAGTTTGAGAAATACATTTGCTTTATTCATGATTCAACAAAAAGTATGCCTAAAAGTGATTTTAAAGAAAATGTTTGCAGGTTCATTATTAGAGGAGTAATCTCTATGATCGGAAATGTGATTTTTTTTCAATATTTTAGTGAGGTTTAGGAATTCTGCAGAACAATTTTGACTTTTTTTCAAAAATTCGTGAATGTGACTTAATGCCTCATTTTCCATTGATTGAAAACTTCTGTAGGAATGCATGGAAAATGTATGTTTTTTATAAATTGTCTTCCATCAACTTCGAATGAGAACATTTAAAGCAAACTCCTAACTCTATATTCATTCCATGTAGGTATGTAGTATAATATAAATGTATATGTAATTTATATATACAGTACATTATATTATAGTATATAATGCTCACAAATTGAATTATTTGAAATACAATTCATTGAATGGTCTAGATATAATTTTTAATTGTGTATTATTTTTACTATTATATTATTTATGATTGATGATCGTATATCAGAGAGCGAGAAGAAGAAGCTAAAAAAGAGAAGGCTCGTGCTGAAGCTGAGAAGAAGAGGCAGGAGGAGCTGCGGCAGGAGATGTTGCGCCAGCAGGAGTTGCAGGAGTTGAAGGAACAGGAGCTCAAGAGGCAGCACGAGCTCAAGGAACAGGCTAAAAAGTACATTTTTAAGCTAAAAAGTCCATTTTTAAGCTAAAAAATACCTCTTTCTAAGCTATAAAGTACCTCTTTTTATGCTAGAAAGTACCTCTACTCAGGCTAGAAAGTAGGTACGTACCTCTACTTAGGCTAGAAAGTAGGCACGTACCTCTACTACGGCTAGAAAGTAGGTATCTCTACTTAGGCTAAAAAGTAGGTACCTCTACTTAACTTAATGCCTCATTTTCCATTGACTAAAAACTTCTGTGGGAATGTATGGAAAATGTTTGTCTTTTATTCAATTGTCTTCCATCAACTTCGAATGAAATTATTCCAAGCAAACTCATAATATATTTTTACTACATTCCATGTACCTATATAAATTGAATTATTAAAATAAATTATTTGAAATACAATTCTTTGAATAAATTGAGTCCCTGTGAGGAATGAACAATGAAGTGAATGAAGATATAATTTTTAATTGTGTGTTATATTTAATATCAATTTATTTATAAACAATGAAGTGAATGAAGATAGTATAATTTTTAATTCTGTATTATATATACTATTATATTATTTTTGATTGATCACCGTATTTCAGGGAGTGAGAAGAAGAAGCTAAGAAATTGTATTAGTAGATGCTAAGAAATTGTATTTAATTGTATCATATGTTTACTATTATATTACTTATGATTGATGATTGTATATCAGGGAGCGAGAAGAAGAGGCTAAGAAAGAGAAGGCTCGTGCTGAGGCTCAATGAAGTGAATGAAGATAGTATAATTTTTAATTGTGTATTATATTTACTATTAAATTATTTATGATTGATCCCCGTATATCAGGGAGCGAGAAGAAGAGGCTAAGAAAGAGAAGGCTCGTGCTGAGGCTGAGAAGAAGAGGCAGGAGGAGCTGCGGCAGGAGATGTTGCGCCAGCAGGAGATGCAGGAGTTGAAGGAACAGGAGCTCAAGAGGCAGCACGAGCTCAAGGAACAGGCCAAAAAGTAGGTACCCCTTTTAAGTAAAGAAAATACCTCTTTCAGAGCTAAAAAAAACTATTTTTTTGCTAAATAAGTACCTGTACTTAGACTTGAAAGTAGGTACCTCTACTTAGGCTAGAAAGTAGGCACGTACCTTTACTACGGCTAGAAAGTAGGTATCTCTACTTAGGCTAGAAAGTAGGTACCTCTACTTAGGCTAGAAAGTAGGTACCTCTACTTAGGCTAGAAGGTAGGTACGTACCTCTACATGGGCTAGAAAGTAGGTTCCTCTACTTAGGTTGGAAATTACCTCTACTTAGGCCATAAAGTAAGTACCTCTTCTTAGGTATAAAAGTAGGTACGTACTTCTACTTAATCTAGAAAGTACCTATACTTAAGCTAGAAAGTACATCTACTTACTCCAAGTACCTCTTCTCTACTAGAAGGTACATTTATTTGCCGAAGATACTATATTAGGTAGGTATACTATAAGATACTATACTATGCTATATATGGTAAATCTAAGCAGGACTAGCAACTAATATCTTGACGCAGAGATGCAGAGCTGCAGCGGCAGCAGGAGTGGGAGAAGCAGCGGCTGCAGGAGCTGATGAGCGTCAGGCAGCGGCAGCAGGAGAGCCTCCTAGCACTCAAGGCCCAGAACCAGAGCCTGGCCATCGAGCAGCAGACCAGGGTGAGTGTTGACTTTTTTAAGCTAAAAAAATACCTCTTTCTAAGCTAAAAATACATCTTTCTAAGCTAAAAAGTATCTCTTTCTAAGCCAAAAAGTACCTCTTATTAAGCTAGAAAGTACCTCTACTCAGGCTAGAAAGTAGGTACGTACCTCTACTTAGGCTAGAAAGTAGGTACCTCTACTTAGGCTAAAAAGTAGGTAGGTACGTAGTACCTCTGTTTAGGCTAGAAAGTATCTCTATTTAGAAAGTACCTCTACTTAGAAAGTACCTACTTCTGCTTACTCTAAGTAACCTCTTCTCTACCCAAAAGCACATTTAATTCGGCCCATAATACCCCAATTTACACAACTTGCCCTTCTTCTGTGTAGTTACCGTGTTGTCTCATGTCCGGTGTACGTATTATGTGCTAGGGGCATAGTGTTGGCATCATGGATCATTTTAATCTACAGACAACAGCAGGGTTAATGCTCTACTTCATTATAGTCATTACTGCATGACAGCAATTTTCGACTTTGATTATTTAAACTTGACTTGCGCGCAGTTAGAGTTGTAACTAACCAGCGGTACTTATTGGACTTCTCTGCTATGTTAGCCCTCAGCTGGGGATGTTATTGGTATATAATGATAATTCTACTTATTATAATTTATAATTTTAATAATATTAATAATCATAAAAATAATAATATAATATATTATAACTAAAAATACTTATACTTATCGTAAAATGGGGTAACTTAGACTGGCGGGGTAACTTAGACCACTTTTCATTTTTTTAACAAAAACCCCCAAAACTCTAAAACTATTTGACATAGAAAAATTTTGTCAATGGGCATTAAAGGCCTAATACTGAGGCTACATAAACAAAATAGAAAGATTTAAAAAGTTTGCATATCTAATAGGTTAAAAAATTAAAAATGTGACCCACGAAAAAAAGCTATTATTTAAAGCCTGTCGAAGTACCCCCCTCCAATTTTTTTATTTTTTGGTTAAATAACTCCAGGTTTTGATGCATTGTAGCGGAACTCTTCTAGTTACATATGTAAATGACAAATTTTATAAAAGTGTCATGGTTTGCAAATGGGGGGTGCCTCCCCCAAATGGGGGAACTTAGACCACCTAATGTCAGCCCTGACAGGGTAACATAGACCGGCTTGGAAGTTAATATAAAATTACCATATATAACATATTTTATGTTTGACAGCCTATTTATGTTTTTTCTTTATGTTTCAGACTCTACAGAGTCTTATATATGGTAATTTTAACTTAATTTCCAAGCCAGTCAATATTTCCCCATCAGGGCTGCCATTAGGTAGTCTGTAGTCACATTTCCCTCATTATGGCTTTATGGGGCCAGGGGCGGCGCCCCCCATTTGCAAACTATGACACTTTCCTCAAGTTTGTCATTTGCATATGTAACTAGAAAAGTTCTACTACAATGCACCAAAACCTGGAGTTATTTGGAGTTATTTTACCAAAAAATATAATTGATTTTACCACCCGGTCTAAGTTACCCCAAGAGCTGGGGTAACAAAGACCATCACTTTTTTTTTTAATTACATAAAAACTATGAGAGGCAGGAGCCAGCAATTTATGGTGAGTAAAGCTAGAGTGTAGACATGTATTCTGCATGTTTCAATTTAAGTTTAATTTAGCTAGTAAAAAAATGGCATCATTTATAAAAAAAAGTGGTCTAAGTTACCCCATTTTACGGTACTTAGTATGTCTTCGCATGTCTAGTCAAGAAAAATCGACAAGAATCAGCGACAGGCCTATCCAGGCCTATCATTCAATGCCGAAGATACTATACTATATATGGTAAATCTGAGCAGGACTAGCAAGTATTATCTTGACGCAGGGATGCAGAGCTGCAGCGGCAGCAGGAGTGGGAGAAGCAGAGGCTGCAGGAGCTGATGAGCGTCAGGCAGCGGCAGCAGGAGAGCCTCCTGGCACTCAAGGCCCAGAACCAGAGCCTGGCCATCGAGCAGCAGACCAGGGTGAGTGTTGAGTGCCCTGGTTCCCTGGTTCTCCTCCTGGCACTCAAGGCCCAGAACCAGAGCCTTGCCATCGAGCAGCAGACCAGGGTGAGTGTTGAGTGCCCTGGTTCCCTGGTTCTCGTCCTGGCACTCAAGGCACAGAACCAGAGCCTTGCCATCGAGCAGCAGACCATGGTGAGTGTTGAGTGCCCTGGTTCTCGTCCTGGCACTCAAGGCACAGAACCAGAGCCTTGCCATCGAGCAACAAACCAATTGTAAACTTGACCATTTATTCATTTTAAAGATGATCATTCAACCATGACGACTACGAAGGATCGTTAGTTTGATCAACACCAAGCGTGTACCGTAGCTGAGATTGTTATATCTCTAGTATATTACCAAACGAACCTTGCTCTTTATTTTGTTTTAAAAATCAATTATTCTGAACAGGACGAGCGCATTAAGGAGCTGACGAGCAAGATCAGCGAGACGCGCTGCAGCGTCACGGAGGTCAAGGCGACCATAGACAACATGAGGAGCACCCGCGATACTCACATGGCCGACATGAACGCTCTTAAGGCCCAGGCGCGCGACCAGAACCAGAGGTGGGCGTTGTAAATTGGACCATTGGGTCGATGGTTAGTGATGCCTGGGCCTGGGACTAGAACAGAACTAGAGGTGGGCCCGTGTTGTAGATTGGGGATCATTATGTCGATGGTTAGTGGTTCCTGAGCCTGGGACCAGAACCAGAGGTTGGCAAGTGTTGTAGATTGGGCACAATTGGGTCTGGGGTTAGTGGTGCCTGGGACTGGAACTAGAGGTTGGCCCGTGTTGTAGATTGTGGACCATTGGGTCGAAGGGTTAGTGGTGCCTAGGACCAGAACCAGAGGTTGGCCCGTGTTGTAGATTGGGGACCATTGGGTCGAAGGGTTAGTGGTGCCTGGGACCAGAACCAGAGATTTGCCCGTGTTGTAGATTGGGGACCATAGGGTAGAGGGTTATAGGTGCCTGGGACCAGAACCAGAGGTTGGCCCGTGTTGTAGATTGGGGACCATTGGGTCGAGGGTTAGTGGTGCCTAGGACCAGAACCAGAGATTGACCCGTGTTGTAGATTGGGGACCATTGGGTCGAAGGTTNGATGCTTGAGTTCGCAATGTCGTGAATTGGGGGCCATTAAGTTGAGAGGTTAGGTAGCATCTGGGGCAGCATGTAGTGAATTGTGTTCAGGAAGTGGTGGTAAGATTGTGCCTGAGTCCGGGACGAGAAATTGAGGTGGGCCCGTATTGGAAACTGGGTTCATTGGTTAATATTGGTCAAGTGACGCACAAACCAGAGGTCATACCCTGAGGGGGCCTCTTGATGGTTCTAAGTAAGGGTCCCAATTATTGAGCTGGAAATAAGGACTCAATTATACCAGACTATAGACGCGGGTCTAATAAATATCTCAACAGAATTTCAAATGGAATTTTAACAAAAGTAATTGTCAGCCCGCATACTACCAAGCAATAAGCTTTCATTAATAAGCTATTGTGGTGATTCGGTAGAAGAATGCTTGAGAATATGGTGCATGATCTTGTTTCCAATGTTACGGCTTTGTCAATGCGTTTATGACATTTATATTAAGATTTTTCATTTTACAACCGCACTGTTAATGATAGTGCTGAGGTTATCTTCAGTATTCATGAACCCTAATTACCCGTGGCCAGGTTACTGGTGGTTAACCAGGAGCGTAGGTACTCATTCATTAACCCTGAATACCGTGTCCAGGTTACTGGTAGTTAACCAGGAGCGCGCTCAGCTGAAGGCTCGCAGTGCGGCGGCCGCGGGGGCGGCGGGGGGCGGCGAGGCGCCGGCGGTGGACGCGATGGTCGACGCTAAGCGCATCGTCATCGCCCAGCTCAGGGAGAAGCATCAGGAGCTGCTCGACCAGGTCAACATATTGTTATTTTATTTGTTATTTATTACTTGTATATGTCAGTGTTTGTTTGTGTCCGTGTCTAGCTCGGCTTATGTGTCTTAGTGTGTAGGTGTGTATTGTGTGTGTGTGTCTGAGTGTGTCGTGGGTTCGTTCGTGAGTGTGTATGGGTTTATCATCATATTGTTGGTCGAGCATCAGGAGCTGCTCGACCAGGTCACCACACTGTTATTTGTATTTGTTAGTTACGTATTAATTGTATTTGTCAATGTTTGTTAGTGCGCGTGGGTGTTGGCGTGTAGGGGGACTGTGCGTGTGCAGGTGGGCTTATTTCTGTATGTGGGTGTGTATTGTGTGTCTGCTTGTGTGGTGGGTTTGTTCGAGTGTGTGTGGGTTTATGCGTGCGTGTGAGTGTGTTTGTTTGAAGTCTGACACCACAAATACAAAGCGGCTGTGGGATTAACTTACGAATCATCCAGAAAGACCAAATTTATTACACAGCATACGAAATAATTATTCGGTTCGTGAACACCAGAAATATTCGTGTACGTGGTCATGCACTGAAGATTTTTGGGTGTCCAGAATACTAATTGTGTCGGGATATTGCCTGTGCCTGTGAATATTTATTCTCAGTGGGGATTTATGAAATAATTTTAGGAAAGAATGACTAACGCAATTAAAATTTGATTTTGCGATTTAATTTTGTTGTTTGCAGGTGTCTGCCAAGGAGCAGGACTTCAACAACAACATCGTGGCCCTGAGGACGCTCAAGGAGGAGCTCAAGGAGAGCGTTGAGCGCGGCAAGAGATTTAAATACAATACTAAAGATTTAAATACAATAGAAAATATTTGAATACATTATTAATGATTTAAATACAATACTAAAGATTTAAATACAATAAAAAATATTCAAATACATTATTAATGATTTAAATGCAGTAATATTGATTTAAATACATTATTAATGATTTAAATACAATATTTGATGTTTGATCTGGGATGTCATGAAGTTCTATTTTGTGGTACTTTTGAAACCCTGTAAAAATTCAACTTTTAAGACATCCGAAATTTAAACAGTCGTTCTTTTTTCAGTTTTGTAAATTAAATATTATCATCGTCGTGCCTGGAGAATAGGCATACAATGAGGTTCAACTTGATTATCATGATTATATTTTTAGATTTTTATATTAAAATGTTGCGCGTGCAAGTAAGTAAGTTATTTGAAATCAAAACTAGCGTTGGAAAAGTTAGAGTTAGCTTTATGAATTTAGAGTTAGACTTGCACCAACGTAGTCTATTTCCAAGTAGGTGCTTGACGCGTCTTAGCGTATTAACTTATTTAAGTACCGCTTGTGTAATATTGATGTAGTTTGCTTAATTTATCGATGAATAAATTTCTAGCTTGACTCTAGAATCGCTCACATTAGTCTAGATGTCGCTAGTTAATGCACCTATACTAGCTTATACTACACCTCGCTGAGTAATTATGGGATTACTCATGATAAGTAATTATGAGTAACTTGATTCGCTTACTCATTACTCATGATGAGTAATCATGAGTAACTTGATTCGCTTACTCATTACTCATGATGAGTAATCATGAGTAACTTGATTCACTTACTCATCACTCAGTATGAGTAAGCCCGAGTGGAACCGTACTAGAAAGGCTATACGATGAAAAGATTTGCTGTCACTGTTGTGTTATATTATATTGCATTATTCACCAAAGTCTAGTTTTATACAAGTTAGTATAAAATAGGCCTGTATAAAGACCTATTCGTTGCTTAACTCTGAGTTCTCAATTAGCTTAGCATCATTCATTTAACCCTTTGTTTACGGATACCCTAACCGTTACCAATGCTATATATACCCTAAGGCCTGATAACACAGAGTTACCGTGAGTAATCTAAATGCTAAATAAAAAAAACTGCTATCATGCATTTAGTTCATTCATGAGATTCTGGTGAAAAATGTTTTTATATTATTTTGTAAGCCTTTAATTTCTTAATTGTGCCGAAACTTGGTCGCTTGTCAGTCGCACTGCAATGCTTCTCTCTTCACTCTAACTTGATTAATTGTACGCCTTATAGTACTGGCCGTTCACGATCCTCACCAGGCAAACAACTGAAAATAAACCTTACATTAAACGTGTTTTGGTTAAAATAACGTTGATTCAACGTTGTTTGCCTGGAGGGAACATTCTAGGTAATGGAATGAGATAACTTGCATGTCTAATACATCGTATATTACACGGGTGACATATACAGCTGATGGGATTATTGAATATATCATCAATGTGCCAAATATTCGGCTCAAGATAATTTGTCGCTGCTCCTGTTTTTACTGGTACGTAGTCATTTACATGTGCATTGATGACGAATGAAAAACGTACCATACATAATTTTACCATGTCCTTTACTATTTGCGTGACACCATACCTAATCTAATTTATAAAGGAGCAAATGCAAAGATAATTTTTTTACAATTTACTAGGACTCTGACACGAAATTAATTATGAAACTCGGCAAAATGTCTGACCGAGCCTGCAAGATCAGCCCCAATGAAGCATTGAATATTTATGGCCGTTCCCTGCAAACTGGCTGGACAGCCTGTGTACTTTTTGCTTCATCCCTGTGTTTTGTGTGGAGAAAAATACAGATTTTTTTTGCACCAATTGGTTAATCCTGCAAATTGCTAACGTTTTTAATCCCTTGTTGAATAACGATGAATAATTTTACGAAGCCCTGGTAACAATTTGAGAGGCTATCATTGATTTTTTAAATTTTTTTAAACCATCACATTCTAATGGGCTATAGATAACTTTATTATTTTTTATTAACCATCACATGCTAGGTACTTGGCTATAATTAATTTTTTTAAACCATCACCTGCTACTTGGAAGCCGGAAAAGCTATGGATTTCTTATGCAAAATTTTCATTACAAATCGTTTACTTTCGCACCTACCGTTCAGTGATACCTGTGGGAAGCGGTGCTGTTGATTGGGACACCAGCACTAGCAATGATTGTAGCCTTGCTACATCTGCTGCTACTGCTACATCTGCTGTAGAAACTGTAACAGGTCTGATCTTTGCTTGCTTGCTTGCCTGCACTATTCCGCAACAGTTTAACATCTATTTTTTTTCTACGCATGTTCACCTAATAATCCTTTAATAATCCTTTAATAATCCTTTAATAATCCTTTAATAATCCTTTAATAATCCTTTAATAATAATCCTCTAATAATCCTTTTGCTTCATATCCCTCCACTGAAATAAAGCAACGTGCTCGGTAACTCTACAGATAGAGTTCAAATACACTCTGGTCTTTCATATATATTTTCGTTGATTATTTTACGTTTANACTCTGGTCTTTCATATATATTTCAGTTAATTTGTTTACGTTTATTTATAATTTTCCTCGCGAAGGTTTTCGAGTAAAGCTATTTATTTTGTTTTGTTTGTTGTTGATGACCGCTCGTTTCGAAACAATCTTTCAGTGCCTTTTAGGCACAGTACTATACAGTAAAGTTTTTCTACAATCATTCGGTACGGTTTTACTGATATCATACGGTACGATTTCACTGAAATCATACGGTACCGGTACGATTTTACTGAAATCATACGGTACGATTTTACTGAAATCATACGGTGCGATTTCACTGAGATCATACGGTACGATTTCACTGAAATCATACGGTACGATTTCACTGAGATCATACGGTACGATTTCACTGAAATCATATGGTACGATTTCACTCTAATATTACGGTACAATTTTACTGAAATCATACGGTACGATATCACTGAAGTCATGCTGCACGATTTCACAATAATACGTTACGATTTCACTGATATCATACGGTATACGATTTCACTGAAATTGTTCGGTACCACAGTCAGTTTGACCGTTTTTATTTCAGCGCTGAAGTTTCCATGCATTGCCCGTTTTATTCCGTCTAACTTAAAGTTCGAATATTTAACGCTATAAAAGTGTACTACACCCAAATAATAGGGGAATTATTTCTGAAGAGTTTGATATTTTAATGATTGCTTATATATGTTCATCTCTCATGATCAACGTTGCGATGTTGTGTCAACGATGAGATTTGGCGCATGTTGATTTGCAATGCACCAAATTTAACGTCATGATTTTTTTGACATTTGGAGTCATGATTTTGTGTCAATGTCTTGTAATTCCATTGGTTAAACCTGCTCGTTTTCTTATCTCTTCATCGAAACTATATAAGTAGGTCACCTCATTACCTTTGTTGTTAGAAAACAAAACTGCATTGAACTGAATTGATCAAAGGCAGCATATTTTTTTCTGCGAGCTGAAGATACGTGGCCTTGATCTTGATCGAAGCCGAATCTAAATCTGATTATCCTTTCTCTCAGATTCCCGATGGTTTAACAATTCTGAGGCACGAATATTTATTTTGATGGAATCATCACAATTTGCATGACACGGACGTTTGTCCATTAGATGTCCTTGCTTCCTTATATGTGCTGAATTACACTTTATTTGCAACAATCCGAATTTTGCTTCTTAATTTAATCATGCTGATTCTTCGGCACATGACGTAACATTATGTTGTTGCTGTTATGTTGTAATTGAAAATATTTGATCAAAATTATGTTGTTATTTAATTATGTGCGAAATTGCCCTCAGTAATTTAAAGCTTTAACTCTGCCATGGATGTTCGAGTATGATTGTTGCCCGGCTCTTTGTGAATGCTCCTTTTCAGCTTGCTGTATGTGTTAAATATACGATTTCCTAAATTAATTTTATTTAATTGCTATTAGGAAAAGCAAATTTACTGACCTCCGTTTAACATTTTGATTTGGAGGATATCTACGCAGATTATAACCCATTTCTATCCATCAGAGTTTCCACAATTTTGATCCCGCGATTTCAGTGTATTTTCTTCGTATCCTCAACTTCGATTCTCCGTTATATGATTCGCAGCGACGGTAATCTGTCAGAATTCCTTTCTAATTCTTTATTTCTTGTCCGTGAAAAGAAATGTTCAGAGTTGAAACATGAATTCTACTTATTTTTATAGTCAAAGGCGAATTTTTTTAGAGCGTTTCATCAGCCTCTCCTGCCACGAACTGCATTATTTCAGTGTTTTTTTTTCATATTATTCATTATTTTCGAATTTAGTTTTGAAATTGGTGTAGCGGCTGTGCTATAATGTCAGTGTCATGTCTTGTAGCATTGCGTTCTAACAACCAAAGCATTGCTTCTAACCCTGTACTGCACGCCCGGCACACGTACTGCATCCTTAATATATGACAATAGTTTGATGTGATATTAATCTTATATAAACTAACTTTCAGATCTTATATAAACTAACTTTCATATAACTGGCATACCTGCTATGCCATCTATGACTCCTAGTATGCCAGCCATGGCATCTGGCACAGTGCCTATGCCAGCTGCGTTACCTACAATGGCAGCTGCAGCACCTGCCGCTATGGTGAAATCAGGAAGCCAAGACTCAGTGTGAGTTCTTTATTATTATCATTATTTTCTGTCAACCAAAAAGCTATTTAACTTCATTATTTTTGATAAATTTTTTGTATGAATTTTGATGCTTTAATTCATTCCTGTTTTGTTCAATATTTTCAGATATTCTTAGTGAAATATAATTTAATTTTAATTATATTCAGTGTGGTATGAATGGGCAATTTTTATAGCATCGGTTTAGTTGATTTATGAGTCCTGCGCCTAATGTGTATGATATATAATATTATTTAGCATAAATACTATTTAAATAAAGAATAACAATTACTTCAGCGTATTTGAATTGTATTAACTAGGTATATATGTGTGCCGGTGATATAATAATTCTCATTGAACTTTGAATGAAATTATTCCAAGCAAACTCATAATAATATCTTCATACCACGTATATAATGCATTTCACTGAATAAATTGAATTATTTGAAATACGATTTATTTAATGATTTGAGTCTCTGTGAGTAATGAATGATGAAGCATATTTAATTGTATATTACATTTATTATTATATTATTTATTATTGATAATTGTCCTTCAGGGTGATAGAAGAAATAAAAAGAAAGAAAAAAGAAAATAGAAGAAAAGAAAAATTGAAGTTAAAAAAAAGCTTGTGAAGAGATAAAGCGGCTAAAACCCCATCCACCTGCTGCTGGTATGTTGCTAATATTAAAACAATATTGATGATTGAAATACAAATTATTTAAATATAATATTATTGATTTGAATACAATATTATTGATTTAAATGCATATGTGTTGTCAGTGCAGTTAAAACACAACCACCTGGTGTTGCAGGTGGCACTGCTGCAGTTAACAGTTGGCTCGCAGGTCTGCAGCCTGTATCAGTTCAAGGCTGTTATGTGGCAAATAGCATGTTCTTGCTATCCCAATTTTCCTCCTATTTGCATGTTTTTTTGGTCCAGTTTTTGTTCAGTTCAGTTAGGTTTTGCATTTTTTTGTTTGTTACAGACAACTACGAGCCTTCCTTCATGCCTGGTGACATCATCGTGGTCTGATATTTTATTATATTGATTTTTTTTGTCTGTATAAATTCTATCTATTTGTCATTATACATTCTGATAAGCTGTCGTAATGTACCTACACTAATTATCATTATTAGTCATTAATTGTGTGATAGCTGAGCAAGATAATAGTCAGTAATCTGCCAGAATTAGAGAAGTTAGTGTATATAAAGTGTAGAATATAAAAATGCACATAAGTGATATCCTGTCATATGATTGAATTTGTTGACAATAAGTTGAATAATAAATGATAATGATGATATTAATTAGTTCTCCCTGCCCCCTTCTTAGTTGACAATGGCGGAGGGGTTAGACCCAGGCTGGTTGGGGGATAAACAACTGGGGGGCAGGACATTCTGGTCCAATTTTGAAGGGTCGGCGCTCCCTCCACCCCAATCGGAGGTGGGGCATCATCCCCCGGGTGCTGGGGGCCGCCCTGGCGCTGTTCACATGGACGCCACAGCGCAGCAACCAGCTTGCCATCACCCCCGGCCAGCGTTTACTGCTCAGGGAGCAAGCCGTGAGTGGTGCTTAGGGAGGGTGTAACATATTCATATGAATATGGACATGCTGATGGTTCATAAGAGATATATGATATAATAGAGAGATATGATATATGATGATGATGATGGAGGCTGAAACTCATTATTACAGCACAGTTCTTGTATTCGTTTGTAACTTTGGTACGTTGGACTAGCAGCTTCAGCAATTTTAGAGTTTATCTTTTCTACTTAAATAGCTATTTTTATGTCTATTTCTTCTAGGCCTATTTTTATGTTTATAATAGACATTTTTTTCTGCATTGATATTCTTGGCTTTTGATTGCACTTTTTCTAATCTATGATTTTGTCTGAAATCAATTTTATCTTTATTTTTTTTATGAATTTTATCTTTTTATTTTTATTTTATCTTTTGTCTGAAAACAATTTTTATATTTATAGTTATTGAGTTCATTTTGTTTATCAGTGCAAGAAAATGGTTAATGCTAACCTATTAATGGATTTCAATTACTGCCTATTGATTTGATTTATTTTTTGTTATTAATTTGATATTCATTAATTTATCTGTTTAATTAATTTTGATTGATTTTATTTTGTATTTTAGTGTGACTGGACATACGGGGAGTGTGGAGACCGCAGGGGCTGGTTCCCCTCAAACTACGCCACCCTGGACACCACCAACCCCACCGTCCCCCCTGCCACCACATCCCCACCGCCTCCTCCCCCACTTCCTGACTTCATAGCTCACGACGAGCCATCAAGTTCTACGTCATGAACTTTGCTTTCAAGGTGACGAGGAACTTTGTTTTAGTCTGAAATTTGTAAGTTAGAAAGCTAGTTTGAACTCCCAGATCAGACATAGGAGGCCTAGGGTAAGATTTGCGCCAAATAGGGTAAGATTTTACCGTTTAGGGAAAGATGTTTGAGTAGGGAAAGATGTTTGCCTTTTAGGGCAAGATATTTGCTGTTTAGGGCAAGATATTTGCTGTTTAGGGCAAGATGTTTGGCTGTTTGCCGTTTAGGGCAAGATGTTTGCCTTTTAGGGCATGATGTTTGCATTTTAGGGCAAGATGTTTGCCGTTTGGGGCAAGGTGTTTGCCGTTTGGGGCAAGATGTTTGCCGTTCAGGGCATGATGTTTGCCGTTTGGGGCAAGATGTTTGCCGTTTAGGGCAAGGTGTTTGCCGTTTAGGGCATGATGTTTGCATTTTAGGGCAAGATATTTGCCGTTTAGGGCAAGATGTTTGCCGTTTAGGGCAAGATGTTTGCCGTTTGGGGCAAGATGTTTGCCGTTTAGGGCAAGATTTTCTCTTTTTAGGGTAATATTTTTGCTGTTTTTTAAAGCGACGCACCAGCGTGACTTAGGGTAAAATTTCAGCTACTTGAGAAACTATTTGAAAACGGCGCTCTCAAATATTTTTGAAGACTCAGAAATTATTGTACTAAGAATAATGAGAACTTTTAGCTAAGTTATATTTTTTTCAACGGATTTGTTGGTTCCTCTGAAACAAGCCCATCATGGGTTTCCTATCTATTCCAATTTTTCATTGGCTAGGTATGCAGAAAGAGGATAGAACCTAAATACCTAGTATTATTACATATTTCTCCTTTTTAAATTTCTTCTTCAGCGTACACAGTTCGCAGCTCTCAATAAGCACGTTTTGCTTACCATCAAATAATAATGATAATTAACATTTAATAATGATAAGTATTAACTTTTTTACAATAATTATTATTCAATCGCCCCTGAAGTAAACTAGTTATTGTTTAATAACAAATTTTGTATCATAAATTAGTTTCTTATGAACGGAGTTGCCGTTGTTTCTTTACAGTCAACCGAGCCTGGCAACCTTGTGTTCGATGCTGGTGCACTGAAACAAATCGGTGCGTTAGTTGCAGACATCTCCACTAGCTAAACGCTCAATGTAGCATAACGAATCATTCCGAAACTTCGTTCGCCGTTTTCTCTAATTTTCGCTCAGCCACAGACAGCCACTGCTGCTATAGGCTGATGACATCATGGCAGGACCAATAATGAAAGCCGAAAATTTACATGCAAGTTCGAATTTAATAGTTAACAAAAATTGATAATAGCTTAAATCAACTTAATAATAGTAATAATATAACTAGTTGAATATGTCATGCAATAGTGATTAAACAGACGTACGACATTCACATGCTTTATAGTTTTCATCGTTGGTGTTTTGTTTCCTCGAATACAGAGGCGGTTATCATACGGTACGATATCACTGAAGTCATGCTGCACGATTTCACAATAATACGTTACGATTTCACTGATATCATACGGTACGATTTCACTGAAATCGTACGGTACCACAGTCAGTTTAACCGTTTTTATTTCGGCGCTGAAGTTTCCATTGCCCGTTTTATTCCTGCTCACTTAATGTTCGAATATATGATGCTATAAAAGTGTACTACACCCAAATAATAGGGGAATTATTTCTGAAGAGTTTGATATTTTAATGATTGCTTATGTTTGTCTCTCATGGTCAGCGTTGCGATGTTGTGTCAACGAAGCGATGTTGTGTCAACGTAGCGATGTTGTGTCAACGAAGCGATGTTGTGTCAACGAAGCGATTTGGCGCATGTCATGATTTGCAATGCGCCAAATTTAATGTCATGATTTTTTTGAAATTTGGAATAATGATTTTGTGTCAATGTCTTGTAATTCCATTGGTTAAACCTGCTCGTTTTCTTATCTATTCATCGAAATTATAAAAGTAGGTCATCTCATTACCTTTGTTGTTGGAAAAGATGTGTATAAGAGACAGGAACCAGAGCCTTGCCATCGAGCAGCAGACCAGGGCGAGTGTAGAGTGCCCTGGTTCCCTGGTTCTCCTCCTNTGGCTCGCAGTTGTCGGTGCAGTTATAACACAACCACCTGGTGTTGCAGGTGGCACTGCAGCAGCTGGCACTGTAACAGTTGGCTCGCAGTTGTCGGTGCAGTTATAACACAACCACCTGGTGTTGCAGGTGGCACTGCAGCAGCTGGCACTGTAACAGTTGGCTCGCAGTTGTCGGTGCAGTTATAACACAACCACCTGGTGTTGCAGGTGGCACTGCAGCAGCTGGCACTGTAACAGTTGGCTCGCAGTTGTCGGTGCAGTTATAACACAACCACCTGGTGTTGCAGGTGGCACTGCAGCAGCTGGCACTGTAACAGTTGGCTCGCAGTTGTCGGTGCAGTTATAACACAACCACCTGGTGTTGCAGGTGGCACTGCAGCAGCTGGCACTGTAACAGTTGGCTCGCAGTTGTCGGTGCAGTTATAACACAACCACCTGGTGTTGCAGGTGGCACTGCAGCAGCTGGCACTGTAACAGTTGGCTCGCAGTTGTCGGTGCAGTTATAACACAACCACCTGGTGTTGCAGGTGGCACTGCAGCAGCTGGCACTGTAACAGTTGGCTCGCAGTTGTCGGTGCAGTTATAACACAACCACCTGGTGTTGCAGGTGGCACTGCAGCAGCTGGCACTGTAACAGTTGGCTCGCAGTTGTCGGTGCAGTTATAACACAACCACCTGGTGTTGCAGGTGGCACTGCAGCAGCTGGCACTGTAACAGTTGGCTCGCAGTTCCGTGGCTTGTATCAGTTCGAGGCTCGTAACGACGACGAACTTTCCTTCATGCCTGGTGACGTCATCACGGTATGATATTTTATTACATTTATTTTTTTGTCCGAATAGATTCTATTCATTTGTAATTATATATGCTGATGAGTTGTCATAATGTACACTTATTATTAGATTATTAGTATTAATAATTAATTGTGTGATAGATGAGTAAGATAACTGAGTAAGATAATAGTCAGTAATCCGCCAGAATTAAAAAAAGTTAGCGTATATAATGTGTAGAATATGATGAAGCATGTAAGTATATGTGATTGATTGAATCTGGTTACAATTAGATTAATATTAAATGATAATGATAATATCATTTAGTCACCCCTCTCACAGGTGAGAATAAAGTGTATAACATAATAACGCATGTAAGTGTATGTCATGTACGATTGAGTTTGCTTTACAATTATATTAATATTAAATGATAACAATGATATAATTTTTTATTGACTGGACTCACAGGTGACGCTGCTGGAGCATCATTTAATACAACCATATCATTTAATATCATTTAATATCAATGATATTAAATATATTAATATAATATCATCATTATCAATAATAATGATGATGATATCATTTAATATCAACAAGTAGTTGAGTATTAAATGATAACAATGATGTTGATCATTTTTCCCCCACCCCTCTGACAGGTGACGCTGCTGGAGGGGTCAGACCCAGGGTGGCTGGGGGGTGAACTGGGGGGCAGGACAGGCTGGTTCCCTGAGACCTATTGCGAGTTTATTTGAATTTGTTTATAATATGTTTAATATTAAATGATAACAATGATATTAATTAGTTAACCCCCCCCTACTCTGACAGGTGACCCTGCTGGAGGGGTCAGACCCGGGGTGGCTGGGGGGTGAACTGGGGGGCAGGACAGGCTGGTTCCCCGAGGCCTATTGCGAGTTTATTGAGGGGTCGGCGCCCCCTATACCCCTACCGGAGGTGGGGGAGGTGGGGGCGCCGTCCCCCAGAGTACTGGGGGCCGCCCTCGCGTTGTTCATATGGACGCCACAGCACAGCAACCAACTGTCCATTGCTCCTGGCCAGCGTCTCCTGCTTAGGGAGCGAGCCGTGAGTGACTGTCTCTTATACACATCTAGATGTGTATAAGAGACAGATCCTGATCCATCCAATGTACTGGAAACCTTACTTTTTTCTAAATAGTTTCTCAAAGACTGACAAATATATTAAATGCAAGAATTTCAATCTAAATGTGTCGGCAAGATCTTCTGAAGCCTGAAGGTGTAAATTTTGCTACTGAAGCGTCGCCAAATATCTTGCAATATTCATCCACTCTCTGCACAGTGGCCTGGTGAATGGCATTGCATAGCTGCAGCCTGCAATGCCAAATGGCATTTGGCAATGCAGTGCTACTTGTACAAGTTCATTTTACCCATTTTTTTTTATCATATTCCCATCATTTATCTATCATTTACCTTTCATTTATCTATCATATAAATGATATAATGAATGCATCAATGAACACACATGCATTATTTATTCATCAATCCTTCATCATGCATTTATTCATCATTCATCCATAATTCATGCATCATTCATTCATTCATTAATCATTGATTTATCATTCAATTATCATTAATTTTTTATTCACCATTTATACATCATTTATTTATAATTTATCATTTGTTTATCGAACTGGAATTTATCCTGTTCAATTATTTCCTTACAGTCATTTGGTTAATTTATAGGTACCCTTCATATCTATCAGTCACATGCACACCCATTTCCCCTACCCTGGCTACAGTGTGGAAATCCAGAGGGGTAATATATTAACTGGTAAAC